TTTGTGCTTTCTGTTTAATTCTCTTGTTATTTACTTGGTCTGCTTTGTTTTCTTGCCAGTATCAATAATCGTTACGTTTTAGTTTATGCATGGTAGTCTATGTTTTACAGCTTTACATTTATTGCATGTTTAACATGTTCGCTTAGGATCGCTGAAAACCAAAAATCATTTATGCTTGCTTGACTTAATCATCTCTGATATATCTTGATTGCTAGCATCACACCTGATTGGATTGATACCTATTGTACTGCAATGACATGATAGTACTCTAGGGTAATTGATAGAAAAAGCCTAGTATCAGTTATTGTGTGCTTCTATGGTTCCTGTATCTTTCTTGAAACTTAAGAATAAAATTAAGTGCATTATACTTGAAGTAAATCATTAAAAACAAAATACATAAAGCAACGATGAATGGTGGAATTATTCCAATATCAAATAAGGTCATAAGTTCCATTTACAAGTAGTTCTAATGGTTGCTTCTCAATGCTCATAGTGTGACCCAAATCAACATTCTTTGACAAGAGCAAGTGTATATCATACAAGAACTTGAATTTTCTGAACTTGTTGTAGCTAGACTAGCATTCGGTTTAAACTCTATAGTTTTTAACCTTCCTACCTTTCTCGTTGAAACATTTGCAGCAAAATGTCCTCTCTTATGACACCTATAACATATCACTTCTTTAACTTACAAAGATTAGAATACTTACCTTGACTTCCTTTGCCTTGTGAGTCACGCAATGAGTTTTCACTCGGGTTTGTAGCAATAATTTGAGGGTTTGAATTTTTCTCATCTTCCCTTGTATTAGCTGTTAACTTAGACTCAATCTTCTCCTTTAGAATAGTTGTAGTCGTCATCTTTGGCTTGAGGATTAAAGCTCTCTTAGGTGTAGACTTCGGATTTGCTAGGATCCATCTTCTTGGCTCGGGATTGGTGTAGATGCGTAAATTGTACTGACGCATGTCGCTATCATCCTTCATGAACTCTTTATACAAAAGTTGCTTCATTTCTTCCTAGGACGCTTCTGGTTCATCATATTCAAGAAGAATATATGCGTCTTGTTCCCAACGCCTAAACACATCCTCGGTTAAGGTATCTTTAGCATAAACCGTCTTCTTCTCCTCTGGAATTCGATTAGATGATAACCAATCTTCCATGTCTTGTTCCCAAAGAAAATATGCTCATGGACCTTTGTAATGACCCGCAAAATTAATGTAAACGGACTCTATTCCAGCCTCACTTACTTCTTCATCTTTTTTTACAAGCTGTCCTTCTGAATCATCTCTTCCAGCCTCACTTTTGTCCTCATGCTCTTCATCAAACTCTTCTTCAAGTTCTGAATTTTCACCAAAACTTGCTTCAGTTCTTCTAAACTGAATTGGGATTCAGTTTCTCCTTGGTAATAAGAATCTTTTTCCTCAAGATGGAGTTCTTATTGTTCTTGACTGAACTGAGAGTCGGACTCCTCACAATATGCCTCCTCTTCATTTCTGATTTGAGAAACATCATCTGCACGCCATGAATCATCTCCACAGAATTCTTCATCTTCACTCGCTTGGTCTTCCTCTTTGTCATACCAACCTTGGTAACTGGTGGTATCTAGAAGTGGGTCTGGTTTTTCTGGTTCACACTCTTCCTCATTTGGTGCACTCCAAAATTCTGAACCTGAATAATCCTCCTGACACCATGACCGTCTCTCATATCCATCTTCTTCTCCAATTAAGCTTTGGCTTCTATCATCGTTGTATTGCCAATCAGCCTCAGATGTGTATTGATCATCATCTTTTGAATCCATTGTCTCTTCTTATTTCTAGGTTTTTACCTCGTAAACACAAAGACAAAGAAGACGTATCAAGAATAAATCAACAAATATGATAAAAACAAATAATTGTAAACAAAGATAAGGCAACAATATATTAATTTTTTTAAACAAAAATCCGAAAATCTCAAATAACAAAATGGAAAACAATTTTTATTTTTCTTTTCTGATTTTATAAAAATAAAATTCGAAAATTAATTTAAAATAGCAAAAATATCATTTGTTATGGCTTTTTTATTAAATCACAAATAAATAATAAACAAAAGCAAATAAGTTTTTTTAGCAAACGGTCCAAGCTTGGCCACAAGCCCAAATACAGGAAGCAGATTACAAAGGCCAAAGGCCCATCAGAGCAACAAGTCCATTCAGAAGGAACAAGGCCTGAAAACCGATAGACAAAAAGTCCCCATAATAGGCAGAACTTGCAAATCACGAAAGCGACTAATAACAATATCAATCTGAAAGGAGAGGGAGAAGAGACAAGGTACAAGAGCAACCAAGCCAAATACCATACGCCTAACAGCAGTGGGAGAGCAAATCATAAGAAACAATTGAACAACGAGGATAGAATAGTATTCCCCGGACTGGCAAGCCGCTGGTCCGCCGATAAGGGAGCGAGACGAGATTTGATCAAGATATTAATCTCCTTTATAATAACTTGGGGAGATTTTGAAGAGTTTGAGTAGAGACATTGATTACGCTCTGTCCAAATGTGATACACATACGCTTGGAACAGCAGCTTCAAAATCAACGAGGGCATATACTGGGGTGGGGATGTGAGGTGAAGTCTTCTTGTGAAAAAATGTGATACACGGGAGCTAAACTCACATTCAAAAAAGAGGTGTTCATGAGATTTTGGATGGTTGTTTCATAAGAGACAAGATAAAGGGACCTGAATACCCCATCTATGAAGTCTATCCCGAATATAGAGCCTCTTCTTAGCAGTAACCCAACAAGTGAAAGTGTGTTCTGGGATTTGGTGTTTAAACCAGACAGCATCATGCCAAGGAACAGAAGGACCATCCAGATGGAGAAGTTGCCAGGTTAAAAAAGTGGAGAAGATGTTTGAAGGAGCATGATGGTCGGGTTTCCAAAGATAGACATCATCATGCTGGCAGTCAATCAACATCTCAACCATCACAGGATTCCTACTTCTAGTGGAAGTGATCCACCATTGACGACCTCTAATGGCATCTCGAACCACAGCATTGACCGGAAAGCCTATGATTTGAGGAGCATTTGGCCCCACCAAAAGTAATAATGGTCTCAAAACAGTCCAGTTGTCATGCCAAAAGCTAGCCGTGACCTCTGAGCCAACTTCACAAATGATGAAGGGTCTCACAATATCTCTAAGCTTACATAATTTACTCCAAATCCAGCTACCATGAGAGACCGGATTTAGATCCCAAAAGTTCCTGTTACGAATCACATTGATCCTCATCCAAGAAATCCAAAGAGAATCTGCTGTTGAGAACAGAAGCCAGATAAGCTTTAATCCAAAAATTTGTTCTAAAAGACTAATCTTTTAAGCCCCAAACCTCCAGTCTCCTTAGAAGAGCAAACAATGTCCCATGAAACCTTAGCACCTCGTGCAGAATTAGGAGAGCATTTCCAGAGGAACCCACTGCACATTTGTTCTAACTTGGCTAGGCACTGGTGTGGTAAGATAAAGATGGAGCACCTTCAACCAGTTCTAAGGCCAGCAAAATATTTTTATATAATAAACGCCCCTTGATGAATCCCACCTGGTTATTTTGAATGCTTAAGATATAAACAACTTAAGCCTGGCCGAGATGAGACGAGTAATAACCTTGTATATCTTCTTATAGCAATCCACTGGTCTAAAATGGTGCAATTGATCCACCCCCATGAACTTGGGGATAAGAGTGAAGGCAGTTGAGTTGAACCTTTTTAGCAAGTGACCAGCTATAAAGAACTCCTGAATAGCCAAAATCGCGCTCAGCTTCACAATTGACCATCTTCCCAGAAGAACTCGAAAGGGAAACCATCTGGCCCCGGGGCCTTGTCTTGGCATGCTAAATATAGTGGAAGTGATTTCTTGCTCTGTAGGAATGGCTGTAATTTTCTGCGCTAAATTACTGTCACATCTGAAAGGGTCCAGTGCCTTGATTTGATCCACCGAGAAAGGAGCAACAGATAGATCCTCAGATCCCAAAAGATGGGCATAGTAAGAAACTAAGAAAAAATTATCTGTTTTATTTGATCCACGTTCTTAATGCGGACATCATTTCACCTCACAGATAGGAGATCAAAATTTAGCTTGATGAATTAAAATGGCTTTTATGGAAGAACGTTGTATTGGCATCTCCATCTTTTAGCCATATGATTCTTAACTTTTGCCTGAAAAAGGTTTCAAGAGCACTAGAGAAAAAGTTCCATTTCTTCCTCGCCATAAACTCTTCTCTAAAAAGAGGAACATAGGGAGAAGAGAGGAGGCGAATTTGAATGGATTCCAGATCTTGAAGAGCCTCGGCAGAACGTTGTTGGAGATTCCCAAAACCTTGCCTATTAAGAAGCCTACAAGCTCCTTTTGCTGCCTTAAGTTTCTCACCAAGAGTAAACATACAGGATCCAACCTGAGTCTGCATCTCCCAAGCAGCCAGCAAACAGTTCAAATAGGTGTGATGAGTGACCAGAAAAGAGACGTATTTGAAGTTCTTCTTAGCCCTAGCCGGGAGGTTTTGAATCCTAACAATACAAGGAGAATGGTCTGAATCTTCTGAAGGATCAAAAACTGCCATAGCACTAGGGAAGACATCCAACTAAGAGGCATTAACCATTGCTCTCTCGAGTTTCCTGATGGTGGGGCTCTCTGATTGATGATTATACCAAGTAAAGAACACTCCCCTGCTAGGTAAGTCAGAAAGGTCATTGGCATTAACACAATCTTGGAAATCATTGATCCCTCTCAAGGAGAGAGTAGTCTAAGTGATCGAAAAATGTTCATTCACTTCATCAATTTGGTTATAATCTCCTAATAAGACCCAAGGAGTATTCTTCAAGAGAGTTGATGAAGATAGCTCTGAGATTTCCTCCCATAAGGCCCTTCGCTCAATCTTTGTGTTTTTTCAATAAAGAAAAGCAGCCACAAAATATTGATCTAAAGATGGGAGCTTTATGCTGGCAATAATAAGTTGTTCCGTCCTTTTGAAAACCAAGACCGAAACTGACGGATCCCACACAGTCCAAATTCTGCCAAAGGAAGAGCAGCAGTAATTGCTGTCCATTCTCCAAGTTGGAAGGATAGAGGACAAAACTGAAGTAGCATTTGCCTTAGCCACATGTGTCTCCAAAAGTCACCCCACCAAAAAATGATTAGAAGCAATCCTGGTTCTCATATACCGCTGTCGAGAATGGATATTAAAGCCTCTTATATTATACAAAAAAATCAACATTGAACACAAAAATTTGTACGAGGGACTTCCTTGAGTGAGGAACACAAAAGCCTTTGATCTTTGTTGCTTATGCCAAATCTTTTGGAGTTTTTTCCTAGTTTTCTTTGACATAACATCCCAGCCAGTAGGGAGAGGGAATGCATCAGCCTGAAAATAATCTCAACTGGATCGGAAGAGTCAGAAAGGGGAAGAAAACGGTTCATAGCACGAGTCTCCTTTGCTGAGAATTCCTTACGAGGGCGAATAGGCTTCTTCATAGGCGAAGGAAGAGGCTGCACAACGACTTGTTCAGACAGATTCTTCTCATTTTCTTTTAAGGAAGATTTAGAGGAATCCTTAACAATCCATTCAGGCTTCTGGCGAACAAAATGATCGATGAGCTGGCCAGGATTCGCCTGAACACCACTTGAGTGATCAACCGAAGGAGTGCTGGTGGATCGCTTTTTGGATCGAGATCTCCTTCTCCTAGAGTTCTTAATTGGGAGTACAGTACGCGGAACTGAGAGCACCTTAACCCCAGAAGAATAAGAAGAAGGTAGAGTCACTGTGGGATGAGAAATAACCTTAGAACCTGAAGGCTTGTCCTTCTTAAACGGAAGTTTTTCTCCAGAGGTTTTGGGCACCTACTTAGAATATGGCCGTAGCTTCCACAATTAAAACACTTCGGAGGTGACCGAGGATAGTCCACTTCAATCCTTGCAGTATTGCCTTCAACAGAAGAGGAGAGTGGAGATTTATAATCACAATCACCTTTGTAAATCCAATGTTAATAGGGTCCAACTAGGACTTCTTAGTTTGAAGAGGCTTTCCAATGCCGCTAGCTATAACACTAAATCCCTCTAAGGAATAAAGCCGAGGCGGAATTCTTTTAAGAACTGTCGAAGTAGGAGCTGTGCTGAGCTCTTCCAATACTAGCGGACCTTCTGAAGACCAAGGGTAAACCATGCACACGCAGTTTCCCGCTTGCCAGAAACCAATGTCCGCTACCCATTGACGAGTGGTGGAAAAAGGGATGAAAATCATGGCCGTTGTTTCTGTAATGATGGGAATAGTTATGTTCCCATATCTACCCCAAATCGGATTAAGATTAGAGAAAACCCGCGGAAGGTGAGGGCATAATCCGTGAAATTGAGCCACAAGGTGCCGCTTCCACATTTCTGCCGTTTTCAAGAGCACAAAAGGAGGATTTAAAATAACAAGAGTTCCATCCTCTAAGAAGGAAGGAGGGTTCATATGTTTCAAATTATGTAGAGAGTTTTTAAACTTGGTTGCCCAAGGAGATTCCCTTGGAGGCTGACTAGTCTCGGCAGCGGTAGAAGTCCCCAGTCGAGCAGGAGTTGAGGCATCATCGATCGTTTTTTGAGTCGGAGAAGAGTTATTCGGAAAAGAAGAAGCCGGAACCTCTAGTGCCATAGCAATTTTTTTGGGTACAGTGGGGGAGATCTCAGACACAGACGAACCCAAGAGGACCTGAATCTTCTCAAGAGCAGGAGGCGCATAAGGAGCATCCTTAGCCTCAACCGACTTTGAAGACCCAGTAGTAACGGAGGACGAGCTGATTACAGGCGGCGATGCCGACCCAACGGGAGTGGAGGGAAGGAATCCCTTTATCTTAACAAGAGGTAAATCAAGAACCATATATTCGGAGGGGGTGACTGAGCGACAATATCAGGCGGAGGAGCCGCGGGAACACTAGACACAGACCCTGAGGTAGAGGACAAGAAACAAGCAAACTTGGCAGAGGTGGCCAGAGGGAAGGGGCAAGCCAAAATCGAAGACCGCTTCCTCTTTGCCATAGAGAAACCCACCGGCCGGCAAGATGCCAGTGGCCAGAGGCGGATTAGGGTTTAAAAAAAAACCAGCCGAGACAAATCGCACTTCTGTTGCACTAGGGGAGAGAGAAAGAAAGAAAGACGCTAATTGAAAGTTTTTTAAGACTCAAACTTTGACAAGAAGAAAACTTTATATTACTTTATATTGATCAATGGTGTTTTTACAATGAGTGTAATGATCAGCTTATATAAGGCTGAGTACAACGTTCTAATATCTAAACAAAGAAATAAGATATGAGATCAAAAACTAGTCGTTGGAGTCTTTATGGTGGAATCCTTGGCCAAAGAGGTGATATATGATTGGGCTTGTATCTGGACGGTTTTGGGGGATATGTTGAGTGTCTTGGGAGCTTCTTGATGTTAGTAAGAGCCTTAAACACGCACACAAACAAAGAAGGAAGGAGCCGTTGTGTATTGATGCCAAACGGGAACAAATATTGGAAGTAGAGCTTAGACTTGATCCACCTGATCAAGTGTGGTGTGGTGCATCCTAGAGGTTGTAATGAAGCCTCTAAGTGATATGAAAACTCTCCAGGCCTCCATGCGAATATTTGGAATGAACCATTTAAGGAAGCATCCATGTTAAGCTCCATAAAGATCATGTGAGATGAGGTGCACCAACTCTTGTCTGGTATGGGCCTTGAATGGTTTAAAATGTCTTCTAGGCTCTAACTCAAATTTCAATACACACCATTACGTGGTACCAGAAAACATTCATTGACTTCATCTGGTCTGCTACTATTTCAGGTCCGTCAGCATGTACTTCAGCTAGTACGTAAAGATGTATCATCGTTGAATCAGTTGCTTGGTAAATGATTTCTCCTGAACCATTAGTCTTCATAGGGTTAATTTGCTGGTGCATAATTAACCCTATGCCTTGAGCTTGTTCAGTACTCCATATAGGCAAGCATTCTCCAAAATGCTCCATGTGAACCGGTTTGGTGTGTGGACTGGTTTCCTCCCTGTTTATTCTGGTTTCGATGTCTGCATCAGATCCCATACCTAGCAATATGAAAACCATGAATCTATCCCCTCCATCTAAATCTAGAAGCCACAAAATCCTTTGAACAAAATGTTTTTCAACTAGTCCGATGGAAACCACAACGGCGGATCCAGAGGTTGATGCCTCAGACAAGCACTCTTTTACCAGAACCCACAGTGGTCATCAAATATCCCATGGATCTACCATAAACCACCAAGGCAGAACAGCGAAATCCACCTGTTCTCCACCAACTTCCGTCGAAGCCGCAACGACTAGTTGAACGGATGAGCCAAGAAGAAGCTCTTATACAACCGCCAGCGTCTTCAACCATGCTCATGCGCAACAGATCTTTCCACTGCCCGACCGGAGCCACCGCTACATCAATAAAGAAGACAGCACATCATCGCTATCGAAGAAAGGTTTTAGCCAATCACTGAAACTCAAATTTTGCCAACCGGTGGCCACCAAGAAACAAGAGGAGCAAGAAGTAACACAATCACCAAACAAGGTCAGAGGCGGTGCTCCCCACTTAGATCTATTATGGCGGCTAGGATTGTGAAGAAGAGACGAGAGAGTTTTTTATTTGTGTGTTAGACTTGCAGTGTTGATGTTTGTCTCAATACTTTAAAAGGATATTTATTTGGGTTTGGAATTATAAATTAGATACTTCCTAAGCAGATTATATTATTTCCATATTTAGTTTCAGATTTCTGAATATTTCTCTAACTAATTTTAAAATAAATAGAAATCTCTTTTCACATTGATTTGATCTTATTTTTAATTTATTAAAATATATAATATAAATGTATTAATAAAAATTAAACTTTTAAAAATATGTTACAATTTAATTTTTCAAAACATATATATATCACTCAATTGCAAAGAAAATATTATTATAAATTTATTAAGGGTAAAATCTTATTAAAATAAAGTGTGGATATCTAAAACGGGTTGTTTAAATTTCTTGGTCAAATCTAAGCGAGTTGGTTAAATATTTTCATGAAATTTTATAGGGAGATTTGCATAACTAACCTTTATTATGATACCCTTTTCTAAAAGTACCCTATCTAGGTGTTCATTTTCAAAAATACCTTTTTCAATGTACAAAATGACTAAATTACCCTCCTTTATTATACCCATGATGAAAAAAGGAATATTCTTTCCAACAAAAAGAATATTCCTTCCGAAAAATTTCCCGCCAAATTTCCCCGCTAAAAATTTTCGGCAAAAAATTTCCCGCCAAAAATTTTCGGCAAAAGTTTTCCCGCCAAAAAATTCCGACAAAAGATTTTCCCGCCAAAAAATTTCAGCCAAAATTTTTCCGCAATTTCTTAAAAAAACCTTGTAAATATTTATAAATCCCTTAAAAATCCTTTAAAAACCCTTGTAAATCTTTTAAAAGTCATCCAAAACCTTTCAAAACTTGAGTAAACCTTTTAAAACCATTGTAAATCATTTTATAACATTTATAAACACTTGTAAATCCCTTTAAACCACTTATAACCGTGATAAATCATTTAATAAAAACTTTTGTGAACTTCTAAAACCCGTTAAAAACCCTTGTAAATCCTTAAAACCCATTTTAAAGAACTTGTAATACCTTTAAAAACTTTTGTAAACCATTCAAAAACCTTTGTAAACTTCTAAACCCCTTTAAAACTTCTTGTAAATCCTTTAAAACTATTTTTAAATCTTTGTATGCCTTTAAATATACTTTTAAATCCTTTTAAAAACACTTGTAAATCTTTTTAAAAAGCCTTTAAAAATCCTTGTAAATTTTTAACATCCTTTAAAAATTCTTGTAAATCCTTTTAAAATTGTTATAAACTTATAAAAACTTTTAAAAACCATTGTAAATCATTTAAAAACCTTTGTAGGCTTCTAAAACTCTTTAAAAACCATTACAAATCTTTTAAAAACCATTTAAAAACTCTTGTAAATCCCTTTAAAACCCCTTGTAAACGCTTTAAAAGACCCTTTAAAAACATTTGGCGGGAAAATTTTGAAAAAATATTTTTTTTGCGGAAATTTTTTGGCGGGAAAATTTTCTGGGAAAACTTTTTGGCGGGAAATTTTTGGGGGGGAAATTTTTGGAAGGAATATTCCTTCCTTTGGGAAAGAATATTCTTTCAAATAGGGGTAAAATAGACATTAAAAATTAAGAGAGGGCAAAAATAAAAATGGTAAAAAAAATGGTATTTTGAAAAGAGGGTATTATAAAAAGGTTATTGGTATCAATTTCTCAATTTTATATTATATTTAATTGATAGAAAATGTGTAAGACATACCACATCGTTTAAGTATTTTGAACGATGGTTTTAAATTATTATAAATATGGCTAGTATGCTTCTTACTATGAATGAGCATGTCGTTTAATTTATCAGGCGTTCAATTTTAAAAAAATAATTTGGATTATCAAAGTTATTTATTTGACCATATAAACTTCTAAAAAGTTTCAATATGTTATAATGTAAAATCTTCTAATATATAAAATTATAGAACACATAAAATATTAGAAATATTTTTTTGAAGACATAGATGCAATTTTGCAATGGCTCATATTATGATACACACCACTTAAATTTTACAACTAAATATTTTGTGAAAGAAAATTTTACCTAAATATGATTTCAAATTATATGCAAATTTTTTCATTTTTAGGGATCTTAAAAAACAGAACTAAATCAAAATTTGACAATGTACATACAGATTCTTATTAACAAAATATACTATTCAAATATTGATTAAATAAAATATATAAGACAAATAAGTCTTACCGATAAACTATATTATGTATCAAACTATGTAAATTACAAGTAATTCACGGGGTATTATGTTAAACTCACGATTATATAATGATGGAGTAATAAATAATTTTTTTATGAATGCAATCCGTTACAGGCTGGTCCTTCGAAACATTTATTGTGAGTATGTAATTTTTATGAATACACTTCTTTTATAATTTTTATGTATATTCCTCTTTCTACTACAAGAATGGTTAAGCTGAATTATTTATCGAAAATATTCCTTCGCGTTGTTTAAATTTGGTCTATTTTTTTCCTATTGTATCAAAAAGTCATTATATTACCATTTATCTGCGTTTTTTTACTATTTTATTTGAACTCTTTACACAAAATATATGATTTATTGTAATCGATTGTACTGCAATAAAATCAAAATGTAACATATTTAATCCGTTAAAAGTCGTACGTATATGTAAAATATTCCTCTGCTAGCGCGGGTCGGATCCTAATTATAGATTAATAGTTGATTACTCCATCTTAAAACTTCTTATATAGTGTTACTAATCAAATCTAATTAAATATAAAAACCTATATGCATAAGCAGCATAAATAAAGTGATCACATCAAAAGATTATGGCGACCACTTAAGAGCCGCACAGTGCTAAAGTAATAAATTCCACTTTGGACCGTCCATTTTTTTTGCGTTTTCAACCCGCGGCGTCCACCAATAGCTGCCAATCAATGTGAAAGTTATCAAATCCATCATTTTATTTTTTCTTATAGTTTTTTAGTTCAAACCCCCCACTTTAAAATTTTAAAACACGTCTTTAATACATTACTAATGCGTATGTATTCACATATGTATATTGTTGTTGGGATTTATTTTTCTCACCTAAAAGTGAGTTTTTCATCAGCAATTTTTTTTATATCTAATTGGTACTTTTGATAGTGTTATTGACGACGTTTTGAAATATAAAAATAAGAAAAAGTGATCATCTACTTCGTAAGCAAAGATCAAAAGATATTTTTTGAATCATGCAATATGTATGATCACATAATAATAAATTTAAGATTTTACAATAGACAGAAATAATTCATAAACCTTCGATAGTATAATTCGAAAAAAAAAACAAAAAAACATGGAAATCAATAACACAAAACTTCAAATTCCAACATCCTATAAAAACTTGTCGACTGTTACAAAATTGCCTATAGTTATTACAAAAGTAGAAATCTCTTATTCTTTTTAATGGCAATAGAAAGAAAAATATGTTAATAATTAGGATGATGATGAGACGACAATAACATTGTCACAGTTACAAAGATAAATAGAAGACGGCGGAGGGATCACCACCGGAACAGCCAAGCAAGTAGGTTTGTCATCTCCGGCCAAAATGACGACGATCTTAGGTAAGTACTCTCCTGTAATAGTCTTAGCTTCCTTGTCAACGACGTTATCTTCTTGATCGATAGGATTGTTATTGCTAGAAGAAGAAGAAGAAGAAGGAGTCTTTTGGTGTGTGCAGACCAATGAGAGTAATGCCAAAGCTATAAGCAAAACAAGCAAAAAGAGACCACCAAAGAGATATGGTACTGGTGTCTTCCAGATTTCTACTTTTGGTGTCGTCCTCATTGTTTTTTTTGTAAGTCTCTTTCTTCTTTGTGTTGTAAGTGTAAAATATGAAATTTTTAGTTTAGGGTATTGAACAATTTATAGTGGAAAGCTTGTATGAAATTATTATATACTTTCAAGATTTATAGTTCAAAGTGAATTAAGAAGATTCCTTGTGCCTTCAGATATTCCTTCTCCTTTGTTAACTATTATTTTGTTGTGAACTGTTCTTGAATATGTCATGACGACATTTACTTTTAGTTCTTAACTTTCTTTTTTTTCCCTTTCGACACATGGACATTTAAAAACATGGTATACATGCAAATGTTTTTTTCTTTCTTTAAAATGTGTATATGTAAACACACAGTAGCTTTGGATTTTTGAATGGGTTAGTTAAGTTTTAGTACCCAGTTGACTCAAAAATTAAGAATATAACACTCATATATGTATAATTAGTTCTCTCTCATCAACTTGTATAAGTGGACAAAAATATCATTTCGCATCTAACAAATTATTTAGCGGTATAATGATTTAAGTATCAATGATACTGTTCATCAAATACATAAGTAAAATCATGTTATAAGTTAGATGAATAACTATTGAATTACCATGATAACAATATATATATATACATAGAAGTTTATAAATATATCGTGTTAAATTGTTTTGTATCGCGATAATTTACGATTTATGTGATAAATTTACAGTTACCGTGTTAACTCATTTACTATACCATATACAAAAAATAATGAATGTCAATAATAGCAATAACATGTTAAGTAATATTATATAGAGCAATTCTTGGGTTCATCCCTATTCTGAACAATTTTTGTTCACCTCTTATTACTATAAACCCTAACCACTATTTTGTCAACCTAAACCAAAATTATATTTTGTTTAATTACATGTTAATAATCTGTTATCATGTAAACCCAAACCCAGACCCAAACCAAAATTTTAAACATGTTAATAATCTGTTATCGTGGAAATTTATTAACCCAAACCACTATTTTGTCAACCCAAACAAAAATTATATTTCGTTTATTTACAAAATCTAAACCCTAACCACTATTTGTCAACCCAAACCGAAATATATATTTTTTAATTAAAAAATCTAATCCCTAACCAATATTTTGTCAACCCAAACCAAAATATAATTTTTTTAATTACAAAATCTAAACCTTAACCAATATTTTGTCAACCCAAACCAAAATATACGTTCGTTTAATTACAAAATCGAAACTCTAACCACATCTTTATAAACTTAATATGCTAAATAAATTCTAGTGTTAAACTTAATATGCTAATTAATTTATTAACAATATAAATGATATTGTATCGCGATAAAATTATAAGTTATATGGCAAATTTGAAATCATTCTGATAAATCATTTATTATCGTGTTGAATCATTGTAAATTTTAAAAATAGATAACGTATAAATGTTGGATTAAAATTTTTATAATTTATTATGTTATCTCGCTAAACGATTTGTTACCATATATAGGAGTATTTTTGTCCAGCTAAAATAACTATGAGAGAGAACTAATTTTAAAAACATTAATGTCAAATACTTAATTTTTCATTTATTTGAGTACATAGAGTGCTATTTCCCTTTTTGAATTTACGAAATTGTTTTTCTGAAACTATTAAGTTGTACTCCCAAAAGAAATAAAAAAAAACCACGAGCAATCGATTGAAGATGCTTTTATGTAGAAATTCTTATTATTTTGAAAACCATTTTTTTTACATTTCAACTCAATTTTGTTAATAATTGAAAGATTATAGGCTTATAGCTTGAAGTTTTGATTTTAAGTCCCAGATTTAGATATTTTAATAATCTTTCAAGTAATATTTTGAATGGGTTTTTTAAAGTACAGGCTCTGTTTTTATTACTATTTATGTAAAAGAATACCTAAATCTAAAGCTTACAAGATTTAAACCCTAAAACTTACGTGAAGTGACTTTAGTCTAGGGCAAATGATAAGTCCACTGATAGACAGTCACCATCACATCAGGGATCGAATTCTCTACATATTTGTAGAGATTAGGCTAATGGCCGGCCAGTTGTGCCCCAATATTATTGACCCAAAAAAAACTCTAAAACTTAGAAGACTAGAACATAAAGGTTTTAATTAGATTAGCATTAAAGAAGGGATAATAGTCTCGATAGAGATAGAAGTTTCATAGGAAGTGATCAAAGAACATAAAACATAAAAATCGAGCGATTTTATTTACATAAAATGAGAAAGAAGACCAGTAATGGTAAGGTTTTGGAAAAACTAGTTAGGATTCAAGTGTTGTTAAGTTTGTTAGCCAAGTTTTAAACTGATTAATAAAAATATTACTACGAATAAATCCTAAACTCCTATGAGTACTGTATATAATTAAGATGTTTGGGTAACCTGAACCAAACCTTTCACCCACAAGACTAAGTGTATGAGATTTGAATTCTCATCGAACCAATTATTTTAGGTTGGTTAGATTCAGGTGTTTGGGTTTAGATTTATGTCCATGGCAACCCCTTAATTTCCACTCTTTTCCTGTGTCAGAGCAAATTCAAAAGAGATATATCTAGATCATCCTTTCTGTCTCGAACTGAATCAATCTACACCTTGTACTGCCAAATAAAAGACCCGAAAAAACCTCCTAAAAATGTTTCTTCAAACTGTCGTTGAAACCCAAATCAAACAAATTTATGTGTGTTTATAGGTGGTGGATCTAAATACTAGTTTCACTGAGACATAACATATTATATAAGAAAGAATTACTTAGATGGACTACATTATACGTGTATTGACGGAAACCATCCAAAACTTTTTTTTATCCTTAAATGTTTTTTAATTACCAGCGTGCCCTTTTTACACGTTACCGGAAAAAACTAATTACGAAAAATGCTACTGCCACGTCAGTCAAAAAGGCGCGTGCCACCAATAACTCAGCCATAATGTACGTTACGGCTGAGTTATATCACGTTATGGCTGAGTTATGAGACAACGGCTGAGTTTCGGGTCAACGGTTGACTTACAATCATAACTCAACCAACAGTTACGACTGACTTATAAAAATCTGGTTGAGTTATGAGAAAACGGCTAATAACTCAGCCGCCGTTACGGCTGAGTTATAGTCCGATGGTTGAGTTATCAGAAGTTTGGCTGAGTTATGTTATCGACACGGCTGACTTAACTTTCTCCGGTTGGCTGAGTTATCGACAACGGCTGACTTATCAAATGTCGTTACGGCTGACTTATGTTTCAGAGACATAACTCAGTCGTAATTGGCTGACTTAACGGAAAACTCAACCATGTTACGGCTGACTTATAGACAAAAGATTTATTGCTAATATAGCCTCCAGTTACGGCTGACTTATTTTACGTTACGGCTGACTTATTGACGTTACGGCTGAATTTGGCATCTTAAAAAACATTTTAGTAATTACTTAAATATTTTTCATGTTGTGGTTGATTTAATTTGTGTTGATGGCTGATTTGTTTTGGCTGAGTTTGAAATTTATTTGATGGCTGACTTACGACTTCAAATGCACAATTACACGTCAGCATAAGTCAGCAGAAACGAGGGAAATACGAAAGGTCCCCCATTAGCTCGTGTTTTTTCGTACACTCTGTTCTTCATTTTCTGTTCTTCACTTCATTTTCACTTCTGTTCTTCATTTATGTTCTTCATTTTCGTTGATGGATCTGGTTCTAGTAATTGTTGTTTATGGTAATTGGGTAAAAACCACAAATATGTATTTTAAAGCCGACGATAGAGGGTGTAGAGTTGTGCAGATAGATGTTGAAAGAACACACGAAAAGCCTGTGAAGTTGGTTCTCGATAACTACAGATTGAATGAGTTGAGCCATCATGTAACAATGAGCTACATGTTATCGTTACAATAATTCAGCAAAACCTCGAAATGGTCTGTGTAAGTCAACCATGACGCTGGCATAACTCAGCCAAACCACAAATTTATTTACGTTAAGTCAGCTATGTCGTTGGCATAACTCGGCCAAACCTCGAATTATTCTACAATAAGTCAACCATGTCGTGTGTATAACTCGGCCAAACCTCAAATATGGTAGATGTGAATATTTGATGCACTCATGTAATAAAAACACTTTAATAATATGTAGTTAACACTTTTATTAACTTTCCATAAAAATCATGAAATTCGCTCAGGTTTGTACCTTTTAAAACTTATCCAACAAAACGATAAACCCCAAACCCTATACTTATGTTCTATTCCTACACAGTTGATCAAATATAGAATGTAAAATAGCTGTTATTTATTTTTGTTATTTGTATTATAATATATTTAATCTCTACATTATTATAACCAGTGCTAATGTTAACATTCAAGTGTCCCTTTAAATTGAAGTTATAGTCATTAGTCAACCTTGAAAAGTAAATAACTCAGCTGTGACGTATTATTCTATATTCAGACACAAAACTTTGAAATATTTTGTTTAGAAAATTTGAATTCAAATTTTGAATTATTTTGAATATATTTTCTTAAACATAATACTTTATGACTTTATTATGCATATGCGTGTGAATATGTGTACGTAATTATTGTTGATCTTTCCCAAAAACCACTTTTTGTAATCTCGAGAATGTATATCACAACTCATCCGTAACGTAGCATAACTCAGCCGCAAAGTAGCATAACTCAGCCGTGACGTATTATTGTATATTTAGACAAAAAACTTTAAATTATTTTGAATATTTTGTTTTTAAAATTTGAATTCAAATTTTGAATTATTTTGAATAATTTTTTAAAAACATAATACTCTATGACTTTATTATGCGTCTGCGTGTGAATATGTGTACGTAATTATTGTTGGTCTTTCCCGAAAAACACTTTTTTGTAATCTCGAGAAAGTATATCATAACTCAGCCGTAATGTAGCATAAGTCAGCCGTAATGTACCATAACTCAGCTGTAATGTAGCATAACTCAGCCACAATGCGGCATAACTTAGACAAAAAGTTGAAAACGACGTTTCGTATTTCCCTTTTGTTTTTTCGTCGGAAAACAAAAAGTCTCCAGCCAAGTTGAAACGAAAGGCGATTGCAATGACGACGAGAGAGAGAGAGAGAGAGAGACTCGTCGGTATGAGTCGAAGCGGACAAAAGAGATGAGAGAGAAAGAAGCGGCGAGAATTAGGGTTCTTCGCCGGAATCGCCGAGGTAGAGATATTTTTTCCTGTACGTGAACAATTAAAAAAAAACCACAACTCAGCCATAACTTACAATAAGTAATAATATAACTCAGCCGTAATGTACCATAACTCACCCGCAATGTGTCATAACTCAACCGTAAACGACGTTTCGTATTTCCCTGTTTTTTGTCGGAAAACGAAAAGTCTCCATCCAAGTTGAGAAGAAATGCGACAACAATAACGACGAGAAAGAGAGAGACACACTGATAATAGAATAAGCGGCCAGAAGAAACGAGAAAGAAAAGCGGCGAGAGTTAGGGTTATTCGTTGGCTTCGAGAGAGAAAAAACTGTTTTTTTTTGTTTGTGAATAGTGATGAAAATGTTCAGTTTCTTCCTCTTTTATCATTAAAGACAGAATAATGATGTATCAATTTTATGTATGACGTGGCATGTCGAGACTGACGTGTCAATTTTTAAATGAAAACAGAACAAGCGTGTTTATTGTAATTACACCAATCTCACTAAACATTTAAGAAATAAAAAAAAATGTGGCTGTTTAAGGAATAAACTTATTTTTATGGTATATCTAAGTAATTCTCCCTATTATATAATGTAACTTTTTATTGCATTAGAACGTAGAGGAAAAATAAATAAACGAAATCAGGAATAAGAAAAGGACAATGTGGACTTGATCGTATATTTAATGTGGTCGGCTGAAAAATTCTTGGGTTCACCCCTAGGAGTGAACCCATCTCATTCACCCCCTCTAAGCTAACCAATCAAAATATAATAATGTGCCATGTCATTTTTTATTTAAAAAATAAATCAAAATTAAAATCATAAAATAAAACAAATTAAGGAAACAAATTCTGTAGAATTTTTATTTAGGAAATTTTATTTGGTTTGGGTTTATAAAATAATGGTTAGGGTTTAGATTTTATAAATAGATGAATTTATTTTTTGGTTTGGGTTTATAAATAGTGGTTACGGTTTATATTTTCTAAATAAACAAAATTATATTTCGGTTTGGGTTGATAAAATAGTGGTTAGGGTTTAGATTTTGTAATGAAACGAAATTATATTTTGGTTTGGGTTGACAAAATAGTGGTTAGGGTTTAGATTTTGTAATTAAACAAGTTTATATTTTGGTTTGGGTTCATAAATTAGTACTTTAGGGTTTAGATTTTATAAATAAACTAAATTATATTTAAGTTTATGTTAATAATATAGTGGTTAGAATTTAAAGTTTGTAATTAATAAGATAAATTATTTTAATTTATTTAATTAGATGACATGGCTAATTTTGATTGGTTAGCTTAGAGGGGGTGAATAAGATAGGTTCACCCCTAGGGGTGAACCCAAGAATTATTCTGGTCGGCTGGATACGTGCAGAGATTTCACTATCTGAGCTGCTAGCCAATTTCAAGTAAACCCAATGGAAATATATTTATTTATTCGTCTATGGGGACGATTAACAAAAGTTAGTGTATTCTTCTTTGGTGTTAGTATATAGTGATAAGTTTGTTTAAAATATTTATGAAATTGTTTAATCATATGTAACATGTGTGATGGTTAAAATGGCTATAGTGTCCAAAATTGTAAAAGTCATATGACTCAAAACTGCCCATACTAGTAACGATGTAGAAATTACATGTTTAAAATGTTCAAAAATACTAACCATGTACTTATATTATTTGCATGTTTGAAACATTTTTAATTTGGTATGAAAGACAAGCCGACGACAAATAGCATAGTAGAAATTTCATATCCAAATCATTACGAAATGACAAAAGTTTAAGTTTACGATGTTAGTCAATTTTCGTCAGCTTCAAGTAGTCGAGTTTAAACCAATCTACTAAACAAAATCTAGCTTACAAGAAAAAACATTTATTGTATAAATATAAAGTAATGATTATTATAAGTTTACAATGTCTACCACCAATTAAAGGTGATACAGAAATGCATTTCCACTTGGGTATGATTGCAAGTAGGATTAGTTAGTGGGAACGTATATGCAAACACTCACAAAATCTATCTTTGCATCATCACATATGAATAAGTCACGAAAACTTAAGTGTGCTGATTAGATTTTATTAGTAGTTCTACGTTTGGCTTAAGTGAAATATTTCTGCTTTCTGCTTAACTTAATTGGCTTCCTGACGTATTCCGAGGGTTTGACTGGTTTAACTAACCTAACAAAAAATCCGTACCAGCAATCAAACAAATTACCGAGTAAACTAATAGAAGATAAACTAATATTCCAACAAATTATGAAAACAATAACTAAGTAACTAGCATCCTAAGCAAATGTTTTAAGAGCAAACACAACAGGGGATTTAATAGGAGGTTCTCTATGTTTTGGCCAAAAAATTAAATGAATTAATGTCATAATTAGAGAGAACCGCCTCTCTATTGAGAGTCTTTTGGTGGTTGAAGAGGCGATGACGTGGCAGAATGTGAGTGGCGGTTGTGTAAAATATATAAATAAATAAAAAAACTGAAAAGCCAAAAAATTTTCTTTTGTTTCGTGACTCTTCTCTCTTCTTTTTTTTTCTCTCTCTCTCTCTCTTTCTCTCTCTCTCTCTCTCTCGTCGATAAACACAAAAAATCGAAACTGTGTTCGATCCGTTGTAAGCGATGCTTTGACGCCGGAGAATGGTGTTCTTTTTGGCGAATCGACGAGACCTTCGACGCGTGGTTCAACGGTTCATCGGATTGGTACAAACGAAGTGTTTGGGTGAGTGAATCGAATCAACAAAACTGGTAAATTTTTTTATAAGATTGGTTTAATAGTGTCATGAATTGATAAATTAATCGTTTGTATTGAATAAATTTGATGAAATCGATTAGGGCTCATGTCGATTCGGGAATTAGGATTTCGGAAAATTTGGGGATCTTTAATTTAGTGTTTGAACTCAATTTGCATCACTACCCGGTTATAGCACAAATTAGGGTGTCTCGTTATGAATTGGGGATTTGGTATACCAACTGCACTAGATTCTTCAAATATGTATTTATATCTAACTTTGTATTGTCTTATAGTATTTTCAACTTTGTATTGTCTTTATGTGTAAGTTTAAGTCACAATCAATTCAAGAAGTTCAATGGTTGTTTTGTTGCGGTGCTGCAGGCACACGATGAGGTAGTACAAGAAGGTGTGAAGGTGGATAGAGTGGGTGAGGCGTTTGTGGTTGAGATGTGGAAGAAACTACCGAACTCTCTTCTCAGGACGTGACTGCTACTACAAGCTCTTGTAGAATGGTGACTGCTACTTTTTGACATCTTCACATTATTTGATCATCATTCATCACTGGAAAGAGTTCATAGAGAAGAGTTTTATAATCATGTGATGATTGTTTATTATTGATACTAATTTTGTATTAGCATCATTTTATTATTGATACTAATTTTGTATCTTTTATTTAATTGATTTTTTATTTTGTATCATTTTATTAGTGACACTAATAAAAAATAGTAAATACAACGATTGTTTATTGATGTAAATATATAGATTTGTATCAATTTTTTTTAAATGATACAAACCAATATATATTTATGTTAATTTATTGAATCAATACTAAATAGTCTATATTTGTCTCATTTATGCATAAATGATTTATAATACTATTGCTTAATTATTGTATGCTTTTTGTTTTCATATTTGCTTTTACGTAATGTAATGTTTTTTTAAAGTCATATTTATTTAAGAAGTAATAAAATGCAATTATTAAAAAAATTAAATTAAATTTTTTTTAAAAAAGGTTCTTACCATTGTAACATAATAAATTTAAAAACCCTATCACAAACTGTTCATCTCAATTTTTTTAAAATTTATATTAAAAAATTTGCAAAGAACCCACAATGGGTCTCTCCCATTGTGGATGGTCTAACATCAATTATTTCAGGAACCAACATCTTAACAAAACATTCATAACACTAACGAATGCCTGTAATATCCTCCTTCTCATTGCCATAATCCCCGAGTTATATTTTGCTTTTACCTGCACAACAACAAAGAGATGTGTACATATTACCAACAATATTTAGTGACGCAATCCTCCCATTTACTAGACTATACAAAAGCGAAAACAGAATCACAAACAATAACAACCGTACTAGGCAACAAGACAAATACATCAGCCGCCTGCTGTGAAATGGTATCGATTGGCACTCTCCTGACGCTAGTCGACACCACCCGATACCTGAAACATGTCGGTATCGATTGGCACCTTTCCCTCATCTCGGCAGCCACATGAAACCCACATCCACGAGGATAACCCTTGGTATCGATGGCTTGTTGAGGCTCATCATCCATCTCCAAAAAAATGAAGTCAGTTGGTACTTCTACTTCACCAATCTTTATTGGGAGATCTTCCAACAAGCCATATGGAACCCTAACCGTTCTGTCTGCCAAGATGAGGGATAGGTTGCACGATTTGTATTGTGTAAAACCTAACCTTCTAGTCACAGAGAAAGGCATGAGACTAAGTGACGCTCCTAGGTCACAGAGAGACCTACTGAAAGATAGTGGACCTATTGTGCAAGGCAAAGTAAATGAACCAGGATCTTCTAGCTTCTTTGGGATAACCTCTTTATGGACAATGGCACAACACTCATGGTTAAGTGATTTTACTCTCTCATCTTCCTCAGCTTTCTCCTCAGCATCTTTAATTATTTCCTTCTTATCTTGAATCCTCCCCAATAGGCCCTCTTTCAGGATTTTATTGTAAGACGGAATCTTTGCATGAGTATCTACCAAATCTTTTGTTAGTTGAGTCCCTTCGAGTGTGTCGAACAGCCCTCAATACTTGTCCATTACTTTATTCTTGAATCTTTCAGGGAATGGTAATGGAGGCGTGTAGGGTGGAGAAATGTAACGTGGTTCCTTACTCTTTGGAACATCATATTTTACCACGGCTGGTTGATCATGATCGACTTTGATTTGTTGTGTGGGATCTTCATTTGGAGCAAAATCCTCCCCATCTAGATCCTCACTGTCCTCAGTGATATCCATAGAGTCTTTTGTAGTAGGTAACTCTCTTAAGGTGATGGCATGGGCTGTTGCAAACTCTTTGGGGTTGTGGATGGCTTTCCTTGAGAGTTGGCCTGAAGAAATAGATGTATTCTTGCTTTCCAGGTGAAGCATTTTAGAGGTCAAAGCTTCAATCTTGAGATTGAGAGCATTGTATGTGCAGTCCATCTTATTATTCATCTATGCAAATTTCTTAGCATACTCTATCGATCCACTTGTCTGTCCTTATAATAGCTGTTGCGGCATGTTTTTCATGTCTTGATCTTGTGCCTGAGGTAGCGGAGCTTGTTGAGGTTGGAATCCTGGTGGTGGTCCAGTTGGAGCTTGGTAACCTTGCTGAAATTGTTGTTTGGGCACATAACCTTGGTTGTAAGGCACAAATGACTTGTTTTGCCCATGCTGCTGTGGTGGAGGTGGATATACTTCATCTTGTGGATTTGCAACAATGGTGCTTCTATAAGACAGATTGGGGTTTTGCTTATAGGAGTTGTATCTTGTGTTGTATCCACCTTGATTCTGGACATAGCTTATCTCCTTAGAATGTTTTCCCTCCCTATCTGGAATCTGGAAAGGGTCTTCTTTAGAGACGAAATGGACATTCCTTTGCTGGCTCATCAAGAGTCTGTCCAACTTATCATTCATAGCTTTCATCTCCTTCTTCTATTTCTCATCAAGATCTGTGCTTGCCCTGATGGTTCTGTCATAGTCTTCATTGTAGTTGCCATCAGATTGGGCTAGGTTCTCAACAAGCTCCCAACCATCGTCGACGTCCTTGTTCAGAAAGTTGCCATTGCTGGAAGTGTCAAGTAACATCCTGATCTTTGGGAGAACGCCCCGGTAGAGAGTACTGAAGAGTGACTCTTTGTTGAAGCCATGGTGGGAGCACTGACACTGATAACTTTTGAAGCGCTCCCAGGCTTTACAGAGTGTTTCACCATTCTTCTGAGTGAACCCAGAAATCTTGTTGCGCAGACGTGCAGTTCTGGAGTTTGAGAAAAACTTGGCAAGAAATGACTGCTTGCATTGTTCCCAGGAGGTGATAGATCCATGAGGTAGAGTTTTCTCCCATTGATGCGCTTTTTCACCCAGAGAGAATGGAAAGAGTCGGAGCTTAAAACCATCGTCACTGACACCATTGATCTTTGTGAGACTGCATAGGCGATCAAACTCGTCAAGGTGATCTAGGGGATCCTCCATAGGCAGGCTATGGAATTTGTTGCCCTGGACCATGGAGATCAGACTACTCTTGATCTCAAAGTTGTTGTTCTGCACAGCTGGGGGCACTATACCTGGACGATGGGTAATGGGTATGGTTGCGTGGAGCATTGATACTAGGATTTTCTATCAATTACCCTAGAGTACTATCATGTCATTGCAGTACAATAGGTATCAATCCAATCAGGTGTGATGCTAGCAATTGCATGGAGCATTGATACTAGAATTTTACGTTTTTAGTGATCCTAAGCGAACATGTTAAACATGCGATAAATGTAAGGCTGTAAAACATAGACTACCATGCATAAGCTAAAACGTAACGATTATTGATACTGGTAAGAAAATAGAGCAGAACAAGTAAATAACAAGAGAATTAAACAGAAAGCACAAATGGATAGAAGATCCTGAGGATGATGTTATTGATGTAGGTGGAGTATGCTAATCTACTTCGAGTGTTTATCAAACTGCAAACATACTAATCCCTAGACAATGAACTTCTAATACTAGTCAATCCAATCTCTTGGCAGAAACTATCAAGTTTACAACACTTCCTAATCTCAATTCTCATTGATGAAACATGTAGTAAACAGACATAAAGAAACAGCTCATTAATGTCAATAAACATCTTAGACAACCAATCTCTTGGGCTAAACATGTAAATCTCTGACACTAGTTGGTTCAGATATTTTATCATATACCTTTCGGGTATGAAATGTCTATGACATAGTTCCAATTGATCAGAGAAGAACTAGCTAATAAAACTCTAATCCAGAAGGGAAACAAAACGAATCTAACATAAACACTCTCGCAAACTAACATCCTCCACCTAATCTATCCCATCCTCAAGAACCCTAACACTACTCGGACGCAAAAATCATGTTAAACATCATGAAATACGAATCGTTCAAAACATGCATAATAATAAAGATGACAGGAAGAGTAACAACAATGATTCAAGAACTGATTGCAAAATATCAATAACTCAAAAGAAATCACGATTACAATTATCAGGATCGTTTGATGGCTAACAACAAAAACCTAATAAAAATAACTCGATCCCTTGGGCAATCCAAATGAGACCTATTTATAACAATGTTTGGGAAAACCTTAAAACATAAACCGACAACGTAAAAGCGGTTTAAAAATTGTAATGGCCCTGTCGGTCGAGTGAGCGTGTCGAGTAACACTTAATTTCTTCTCTGCATTATTTCATACTCGACCGTGTATCTCGAGTGAATGTGTCGAGTGATATGTGAAATCATCAGCTACTTCTTTGCTTTGCTCGATCATGTCACTCGCGTGTGTGCATCGAGTGACAAGTGATTCTGCTTCGCGTCCCATCTGCTCGATCTGCTACTCGATCGTATACGTCTGCTGCTCACTCTATCATCCTACTCGATCGTGTACCTGTCGAGTGATACTTGTTCCTCTGCTTTGTGCTGCATGTCTGCTTAGTACCTGCAACACTCCAATATGCGAATGTATGCACGATATGCACAAAACCTACCTAAGTATGCAAAACATGCAAAAAGTGATCAATATGATGCGAACCAACAAGTGAATGATGCTGAAAAGATGATGAATGCATGCTCAAAAAGTGATGAAATACAGACTTATCAACTCCCACAAACTTAGTATTTGCTTGCCCTCAAGCAAAGCAAAAAGAAACAAAGTGGAAGAGAGGTTTGAAAATAGGGTCTCAGAACCTGTAACTTGCAAGATAGAGCAGTTAAAATCAATGTCATGGTTGCTAAGTCTTTGATGCATGCTGAAAGAACTTTACTTAAAGACTTTAGACAAACTCATCAAATCCGAAACTGATTCTATCCCTTGATTTACACATGCATTCAAATCATTCATTACTTTCAACATTCATTACTCAAGAATATGAATCTGGTTGTGCAAGGCTTAACAAACTCACGTGGCTAGGCAGAAAAAGGTTTTGAGAATCAAGAGGGTTTAAAGAATTTCAGGACAAGGATCTCTAAGTGAATGGATTGAGCTTTAGGGAGAATGCTAAAGGTAAGGACCAACAAATGCATACAGGAATAAAACCTTAACTACCCAATGGTTCCCAAGTGCTTACTCCTAATCATCTAAACCCGAATGATCCCTATGTCTACCCTTCAACATCAATCCCATTTTTTTCTTTTTGCCTTAGGAGAAGTTTCTTATCAATACTAATGGATAGGGGGTTTCTTCCTTACTATGGTTCTGTTTTCTTCTTACGTTATAAAACATCAAAACTTTTTCTCTTTCTTTACATCCTAGAACCATTCTCTGTATATCATGCTATCCTCACAAAAATCAATCACTAGAGTATAAACTTCTAGAAAAACATTCTCCTTCTAAGGACACAACTTTTTCTGTTTCTCTTCTTGCTTTCCACAATCATTCCAATCCCAAACCCAAGTAAGAATCCAGACCTAGTCCTATCTGATTTGAAAGTGAAAATCAGAACTACTCAAGATTTTAATCCTGTCGGCTCATACCTAACACGTTCTCCCCATGCATAATCCGGTAAAAAACCTACCAGTCAAAAATTATCAATTGGCTTGAAAGAAAAGGATAGGTTGTGGGTATGGCAAACTGATCAAAAGAAAGATCAGCTACTTGGATCAACAAGAGTGGTGAAAGGAGGAAGATGATCCAAATACGTATATGGTGACCATAAGCATGCAAGCAAAACACAACCAGATATTTGCAAGTCAAGATTAAGTTCTTATAAGGTAAGGAATGAGATCATATCACAACATGCTTCAACCAAGTTCAAGAAAGCTCTTCATAAATTCCAATTTTGTTTCAGACTTACTTCAAGTTCAATCATCATGCATCAAAGAGCAAAAACCCAGGGCATTGATCTCAACTAGTGAATCATAGCAACTTAACAAGGTGTAAATCATCATCGCCCCCTATGCTAATGCAACAGTCCTACATGAAACAATCTAGACTCGATCCTAGTATGCAATTGCATGCTACATGATCACTCTGTTTTTAAAGATTTTTTTCTGAAAATTTTTCAAATTTTTAGGGGTTTTCAATGCACATATATGAATGCAAATTATATGCTAAAAATTCGAAATAAGAAAAGAGAACACAACATCAAATGTCATCCCAAACCCGCCCCCAAACTTAAATTACACAGTCCCTTGTGTAATAAAAATTTGAGAGTTGGTTTGAGAATCAAACAAACAAAAGTATGAAAATGCAATAGTATATACAAATGAAGATTTGGAGTGGTACCTTACTGAAAATAGCAGTATAGGTATTGAGTCATGGACTCGCTTGTATAAGCACCTGGTGCAGGCTGCACAGGAGGAGGCTTTACTAGTTTCTCAACGTTCTGCTCGACCGGATCCTCAACATGATGTTCAACCGGATCCCTAGGATCTTCAAAATAATACCCTCCTGGATCAACAGTCCGGTCTTCAATGAGATGCTTGTCTGGATCCATAGTCAAATCCTCAATGTGATGCTCGCCTTTGCTTTCCGCCTTGCTGCATTCTTCTTTTTCCTTTTCTCTTTCTTCTTGCTGTCCCTAAGATCATGGGAAGATTGTCTTGGAGGAGAGAAAGAAACATTGTGCCCTATAGTCATAAGCGGAATCTCTTGATCGAGAAGGAGTTCTATTGCATGCTAGTACATCACTCGTGGACGAACATATATGAACATGTTTGACGTTCTGACCAATATAAAACCAAAAACAAAAATCAAAATAACAAGAAATCCTAAGCAGTATTTACAGGGATACCTTTGGGACTTCCTTCCTAGTGAGCTTGTTTAAAGTCACTAAGCTTAACTGTTTATGCCTTTTAGGCTTAAGGAGGCTCATAGAGAGGTGTTGAAGCACCCTCTATTCTCAGAGGATTCATTCCTCCTCTTTTTTCTAGGTCAATATCACAGGATCTGCTGCTCATCTTTACATTCACACTTTGTCTCCTTGGACAAGGACCATTGATTTTTCTTTTAAGTTTCTTGATTTGCCCACCCATTTCCTTGACCATAGCTGTTAACCTTTTCACTGAATGTTTCTAAACATTGATAATTCGAAGTTCTAAACAACCATCCGATGAGGGATCCGTAGATTCTTTGACACCTTGCTTAAGTATTTGCTTAGTTGACTCAACTTCAGTGGAGAAAGTGTGCCCATCAACTATTGGCATACTCAAGACGTCCTTGATATCAAACTTCATCTTGAAGTTTTTACCCAGATTAAGATCAATCATCCCTTTCCCGACATCAATGATTGCTCCTGCTGTAGCTAAGAATGGTCTTCCTAGGATGAGTGGATCTTGAGGCTGATCATCAATCTCCAAAACAATGAAGTCAGTTGGTGCTTCTACTTCACCAATCTTTACTGGGAGATCTTCCAACAAGCCATATGGAGCCCTAACCGTTCTGTCTGCAAAGATAAGGGATATGTTGCA